ACCTGACCCCACCCGGGAGCAGGCCCCGGGGAGACGGCTGTGGGAGATGGGGAATCCCCCAACCAAGTGCAACAAACAGGCCACGACCTGGGCACAGATGCCTCTTCCCGAGCCCACCTGGGAGTGACAACCGGAAAACGTGCTGGACAAATTCTGAAAGAGCTGGAACAGCTTCCATTATTTTAAAAGTCCTCAGGTTGCATTTATCCCAGACCCTTTACAGCTTTTTCCTTCTGATTGGTGAAGCCTCAGCTCAAAGGTCACCTCCTCAGAGAGGCCCTCCCCCATGGCCCTATTTAAGTAGCCCCCACCAGAGCCACAGTCAGCGACACGCACCCTTCATTTCCTTCTTGGCGGTGACTCCTACCTGCGAGTGCCTTGTCATTTGCGGTTGACATCTGCACTGTCCGTCTCCACCAGCACTGAGGCTCCGTGAGGACAGAGGCACATCGCCTTGTGTCCTGGCGAATCCCAAATCCCAGCCCTGAGCACAGCCTGGCACAGAACAGACACAGGCAATGAGTGCTGCTGAAATTTTCCCCATGGAGCCAGTGGTGATCTGTCCAGGCTCTACAGCCCTCCCCCCGAAACGTGTTCAGAGACGGGACACTGAGGCCATCCTCCTTGCTCCACTCCTGGTGAAGAGCCCTCAGACCCATAGGAGGGGCTTGTCAGTATCACCTTCTCAGGTGAGCCTCATAGATAAGCAGGTGCAGTGAGTTAACCAAGCCTACGTCTTTAACCATGTGATAACCACAGTACCAGGGTTCTGCCATCAAATCTTTTCTATCCTCAGTCCTGCCTTGGGAATTCAGACTCACCCAGAATTCAGAGTTTCACAGACTCAGAAGAGAATGTGATGCTAGATTGTTCTGTGAAAGGTTTGGTTTTAAAGCAAGATCAAATGATTACATTTGTGATCTGAAATCAATTGTTTGCTTCATAGCAAACCAAATGTCCTTCCGAATTATTTTGTTTAAATTCTTCCCAGAACGGGGAGCAGTATTATTGTTTCCAGTGAAAAAAAGTTCCCCTTTCATCAAAGCTGTGAGCTTTATCTGCTGCTTTTGAATCTAACGCTGGCTTGGGGAAAGGGATTGTAAACAGCAGGTCTTCTTTGTGCACTTTACGCTTCCAAATGTGCTGGTTGGAATAAAGGAGTGAAAAGTTTAAAAATTCTCTCTTGTAAATGTTTAGAAATTGCAGGAGAGTTATTTGTTGCTCTTTGAGGGGAGAGGTCACCCTCCCAAGGCACAGTCACAGCTGAATGTCACTAGATCCCCGCTTCCTCCCAACCTTGGCAGGTCAGACTCTGTGAAGGACACTCACTATCTGTGTGACCTCACACCAGGTACAGGGACGAGGGAAAGAGGCACATGGGGCTTGTAGGATGGTCCTGCAAGGCTGCTTTTCTGGCAGGGAGGTGACACCTGCAAAGGAATCTCTCGTTTCTCCCAGTTCCAGTCAGTTTCAACAAGAGGTGAGGTTTTCTTTCCTCCCAATTATTATAGTATTTTTTTCTAATAAAGTCATAACTCATTTCAAAGGTTTTTAAAAATAGAAGAAAACAAGCTTTTAAATCATGAGTGACTCCAACACCAAAGATAAGCAGCATTTGCATTTTGCTATGTAGTGCTCCTGTTAGACAATACACGCATATTATCACACTTATGCACTTCTGTGTTTTTGCTTTATTAAAATAGAATAAAGCTTTACTGGGCCAGGCGCAGTGGCTCATGCCTGTAATCCCAGCACTTTGGGAGTCCGATATGGGTGGGTCACTGAAGGCTGGAAGTTTGAGACCAGCTTGGGCAACATGGCGAAACCCCGTCTCAACTAAAAATACAAAAATTAGCCGGGTGTGGTGCATGCGTCTGTAATCTCAGCTACTTGCAAGGCTGAGGCAGGAGAATTCTTTGAACCTAGGAGGCGGAGGTTGCAGTGAGCCAAGATTGCACCATTGCACTCCAGCCTGGGCAACAGAGTGAGACAGTGTAAAACAAAAACAAAAACAAAAAAGGTTTATTTACACTAAATATATTTTGTGTCCATATTTACACATTGATAACAACAGATCACTATCATTTTTGGTGTGGGCATATATAGATATAATTATTAAATGAATCTCCTTTTTATCCAGTTACGGTTGTATCACCTATCAGTGATGTAACTTCAGCCAAGACAGAAGTTTATCTCATAAAAATCAAGACTGGGCTGGGCACAGTGACTCATGCCAGTAATCCCCACACTTTGGGAGGCTGAGGCGAGTGTTTCACTTGAAGTCATGAGTTGGAGACCAGCGTGGTCAACATGGTGAAACCCTGTCTCTACCAAAAATAAAAAAAATTAGCAGAACATGGTGGCACACACCCGTAATCCCACCTACTCGGGAGGCTGAGGCATGAGAATCACTTGAACCCAGGAGGTAGAGGTTGCAATGAGCTGAGATGAAACCTCTGGAGTGTATTGCAATGAGCTGCAATGCACTCCAGCCTGAGCAACAGAACAAGACTCTGTCTCAAAAAACAAAAAAAGTAAAAACAAAACTGGAGGTTGTCAGTCTAGGGCTGGCGTAAAGGACTTTCATTTCCTTCCAGAAGACATTCTGCTATCCACAGGGTAGAAGCCTAATCCTCAAGGTTAAGGTGACAAGAATAGCTCCAACCATCATATGCTTATTCCAGGAAACAGGTCAAAGGATGGAACAACTAAGAAATGACAGTAAAGATATGTGTCAGTCCATCTGTGTTGCTATAAAGGAATTCCTGAGGCTGGGTTCTTTATAGAAGAGAGGTTTAATTGGCTCAGAGTTCTGCAGGCTGTACAAGTATGACACCAGCATCTGCTCCTGGGGAGGCCTCAGGAAGCTTCCAATCATGGCAGAAGGTGAAAGGGAAGCAGGTACATCACATGGCGAGAGAAGGAGCAAGAGAGGGAGGAGGACGTGCCAGGCCCTTTAAACAACCAGATCTCCCATAAACTCAGAGCAAGAACTTAGTCATTGCCATTGGGACAGCACCAAGCCATTGTGAGAGGGATCTGCCCACATTACCAAAATGCCTCCCTCCAGGCCCCACCTCCAACATCAGGGATCACATTTCAACATGAGATTTGGAGGGGACCAACATCCAAACCATATCAAGACAGAGGTTATAGAAGGGGGTTTCCAAAAATACCACCCAACGCTTTTATTACCTCCCATTGGCCAGAACCTGGTCACATGACCACAACTCAACTGCAAGGAAGCCTGGGAAAATGTAGCCTGTGTGAGAGGGGAGCACTGGTGCCAGGGTGCGAGACCACCAGCAGGCATTCATGCTTCCAACTTCTTTCTTTTTATAAAAATCCTTAGAGATCCATCTTTCCATATTTTTCTGACTATTTCCTAGGGATAAATGCCTATAAATGAAATTTGGGACCAAAAGTTATGCACTTTCATTGGTCAGTTGCCAAATTGTCCTCTAGACAGGTTGTACCAATGAACTCCCCAAGAGGTGGGGTTCTATTGCATGAAATGTTTCTCCACCCCACGTTTCCTTTTAATCCACACTCTTTGGCCTTTATTAGGCTTACACATCTCTTCAGAATCCCTGCTTCCTACATCATAATCTTGGGATTTAATACACATTTTTCGTTCAGGTTATTACTGATATCAGATTTATCTGACTATGCATGAACCCAGCCACAGCTTTAGGGAAAGGGATGTACCTTTCAGCGGTGAAGATAATACAAATTAATAATCCTCAGAGATTTTGAAACTGAAGTGGGCAGGAAAGGGTGGAAAGAACCGATCTCATTCTATGAAGAGCACGGAGGGATTTTCACGGCACATGTGGTGCTGAGTACAGCAGACCAGGCTCCCAGGGGCACCCAGAGAGCAGCGTTTCCTCAACAGAAGAGGAGTGAGCACTGCACAGAGTTGCGGAAACGGAATCCCAGACAGGGGTAACAGTAGATGCAAAGGCCCCACGGCAGGCCCTGGCTTGGCCTGCTGGAGGAGCAGAAAGGAACCAGTGTGTCTGGAGTAGAGGGGACCAACTTGTCCAGGTTTGCCCAAAACTTTCCTGGTTTTAACACTAGAAATCCCACATTCCAGGAAACCTCTGAGTCTCAGCCAAGCTGGGATGACTTGCCTGGAACTGCCCTTGTTATAAAACTGAAAGGTCTGTGCCTCACAACCCCCCTCAGTCCTGAGAAAGCTGAGGCAGTGGGTTGCCCTAGACTGGAGCAACATGCATGATGGTGGGAAGAGTCAGTGACTCTCTTTCATGTCCTCTCTCCCCTCGACCTCAGGAGTCACCCAGGTGGGCACTGGCATCCAGGATGAAAACTTCCCAGCATCCCTTGCAGCAAGCAGTGGCCATGTGACCAGGCAGTGGCCAATGCACATGAGGCCAGTGCACAGCAACTGCCTTTACAGGAAGGGAGGTTTGTGTCCTCTTGTTCTCTTCTCCCCTCCCTGCTGGCTGGTGGTAGATAGGATGGACACTGTGGGGAAGCTACACCCTAAGGAAGCCAGAGCAGCAAGATGGAAGTAGCCTAAGACCCTGAAAAATGCACAGAGAAGAATCACCCGACTGGCTTGGACTTTCATGTGAAAGGAATGAACCTCTGTCTTAGTAAAGCCACCGTGATTCAGGGTCCTTGTCACATTCACTGAGGCTGTAACGTAATTGTTAGAAAGAACAGGAATGGGAGAGGAGATGGAGTCGGAGAGGCAGGGAGAGGTCACATCATATCTGGCCTGTAGGCCAAGGCGGAGGAAGAAACAGGCGACACAGGACTCAAGGACCACACCTGCTCCCAGGCGAAGGGAGTTTGCTGTGGGTGCCCCTCCCTGTCCGTGTGTCCAGTGTGTGGATATTCTTTATACCTTACCCGTATTGTACAAATACTTTTTCTATTCAATATTTAGAAGACATTGCATTAAATAGCAAGATGGCAGATGAACATCAGGAAGGAACATTAGGAACATCCACAGTGTTCCATCCAGGAACCTTCACCATGGAAACCCTTGTGCTCATGGGCCTGGTCTCAAGACGCAGTCAGCTGTTGGGGATCAGAGGCCGCACTCATCGTAGCAGAGAGGCAGGACCAGCTGGGAGAGGGTCCTTCTGTGACACCGACGGCATCACCGGGCTGTGGGAAGTGACTCAGCTGCCAGAACTCACACAATATCATTCTGCACCAAAGCCTCATGGGAAAAATGGTAAGTTCTCAGTTTCTCCATTAATAGCACCTCTCAGATGAATCTCTGTCCTCCATCGCTTCTCCATGAAACAACATTTTATAGCTTTGCTTGGGTCTATTTTTCAATGTATTTCTTATTTTATTAACTGATTGAAAGATATATATACATATATATATTATGTGTGTGTGATTTTGCCAGTCAGGATAGTCATAGTTTAATTCCTATTATTATTACCAACATCCTTTAGTTTTTTTAAGCTTTTCAATTCCTAAGGCTATCAATCAGGATCTTTCTGCCTCATGAGACAGAAAACAAATCCAAACTGTGTAAGAGGAAAAAGAAGACACTTATCACTAGCATTTAGAAGTTCCCAAGCTCAGCTTGCTTGGGGTACAGCTACATCTACAGTTTCCAGGGTCATCCTGTAACTCTCTCTCTCTGCTTCCCCAACTTTGGCTCCATGTTTAGCTCCACGACCCTCAGACTTAAACAGCAGCACTGGCTCCTCCCCAGATCTCCAGCTCCCTGACCCTCAAACTCCAACTCCAGCACCAGCCCCGCCCGGGTCTCCAGCTCCACCATCCTCAAACTCCAACAGCAGCACCAGCTCCCGCGTGGATCTCCAGCTCAATGACTCGCAGACTTGGGAGGCAGCACCGGCTCCCCACCAAGGCTCCAGCTCCACAACACTCAAACTAGAACAGCAGCACCGGCTACTCCCTGGCTCTCCAGCTCCCTCAAACTCAACGATAGCACTGGCTGTTCCCCGGGACCACCAGCTCCACAACCCCCAACTTACACGGTGGTAGCATCAGCTCCTCCCTCAGTCTCCAGCTCCACGACCATCAAACTTGAACTGCAACACCAGCTCCTCTTCGGCCTCCAGCTCCACAATCCTCAAACAACAATAGCAACACCGGTGCCTCCCTGAATCTCCAGCTCAACAACTCTCAGACTTGAGAGGCAGCACCGGCACCTCCAAGGCTCCAGCTCCACGACCCTCAGATTTGAACAGTGGTAGCACCACCTCCTGTCCAGGTCTCCAGCTTCACTATCCTTAAACAAGAAAAGCAGCACTGTCGCTTCCCTGGGTTTCCAGCTCCATGACCCTAAGACATGAATGACAGAACCAGGTCACCCCCAGGGCTCCAGCTCCAAGACCCACAGATTTGAACGGCAGCCCTGGCTCTTCCCGGGATCTCCAGCTCCACGGCCCTCAGACTAGATCAGCAGCACCAGCTCCTCCCTGGGTCTCCCTTCAGCTCCACAATCCTCAGACATGAACAATAGCACCGGCTCCTCCCTGGGTCTCCAGCTCTACAACCCTCAGACATGAACAGCAGCAGCACCAGCTCCTCCCCCTGTCTCCAGTTCCACCAACCTCAAACTACAACAGCAGTACCAGCCTCTCCCCAGGTCTCCAGATCCACGACCCTCAAAATACAATGGCATGACCGGCTCCTCCCTCGGTCTCCTGCTCCCAAACCCTCAAACTTCAAGTGACACACCGGACCCTCCCCACAGTTAAACAGCAGCACAGGCTCTTCCCTAAAGCTCCAGATCCACGACACTCTGACTTAAATGCTGGTAGCACCGGCTCCTCCCTAGGTCTCCAGTTCCACGACAATCAAACTACACAGCAGCACTGGCTCTTCCCCAAGTCTCAGGCTCCATGACCCTCAGACTTAAAAAGCCGTAGTGCGGGCTTCTCCTTGGGTATCCAGCTCTACAACCCTGAGACATGAACAGCAGCAGCACCAGCTCCTCCCCCTGTCTCCAGTTGCACGAACCTCAAACTACAATAGCAGTACCGGCCTCTCCCCAGGTCTCCAGATCCACGATCCTCAAAATAGAATGGCATCACCGGCTCCTCCCTGGTTCTCCAGCTCCCAAACCCTCAAACTTCAATTGACACACTGGACCCTCCCGACAGTTAAACAGCAGCATGGGCTGTTCCCCAAAACTACAGATCCATGACCCTCTGACTTAAATGGCAGTAGCACCAACTCCTCCCAAGGTCTCCAGTTCCACGACAATCAAACTACGCAGCAGCGCCGGCTCCTCCCCAGGTCTACAGCTCCAGCACCCTCCCGCTCTCCAGGTACACAACCCTCAGACTTGAACAGCAGCAGCGGCTCCTCCCTGTACCTCAAGCCCCATGACCCTCAGACCTGAACAAGAGCAACACCAGCTCCCCCCGAGGGCTCCAGCTTCAGGATCCACAGATTTAAACAGCAGCACCGGCTCTTCCTGAGACCTCCAGCTCCACTACCCTCAAACTAGAATAGCAGCGCCGGCTCCTCCTTGGGTCTCCAGCTCCACGACCCCCACACTAGAACAGTAACACCGGTTCCTCCCTGGATCTCCAGCTCAATGACTCTCAGACTTGAAAGGCAGCACCGGCTCCTCACAAAGGTTCTGGCTCCAAGACCCTCAAACTACAATAGCAGCAGCTGCTGTCCTTGGGTGTCCAGCTCCACAACCCTCAAAGTAGAAGAGCAGCCCTGACTCTTGCCCGAGTCTCCGGCTCCTCAAGTCTGAGGGTTGTAGAGCTGGAGACCCAGGGAGGAGTCAGTGCTGCTGTTCTAGTGTGAGGGTCGTGGATCTGGAGACCCAGGGTGGAGCCGGTGCTGCTGTTCTAGTGTGAGGGTCATGGAGCTGGAAGACCGCGGGAGGAGCTGCTGCTGCTGTCCTAGTTTGAAGGTCATGGAGCTGGAGAACCAGGGAGGAGCCATTTGAACAGCAGCGCCGGCTCCTCCCCGGGTCTCAGGCTCCATGACCCTCAGACTTAAAAAGCCATAGTACGGGCTTCACCTTGGGTCTCCAGCTCTACAGCCCTCAGACATGAACAGCAGCAACACCGGCTCCTCCCCCTGTCTCCAGTTCCCTGAACCTCAAACTACAACAGCAGTACCGGCCTCTCCCCAGGTCTCCAGATACACAACCCTCAAAATACAATGGCATGACCGGCTCCTTCCTGGGTCTCCAGCTCCCAAACCCTCAAACTTCAACTGACACATCAGATCCTCCCCACAGTTAAACAGCAACACGGGCTGTTCCCCAAAGCTCCAGATCCACGACCCCCTGACTTAAATGGCGGTAACACCAGCTCCTCCCTAAGTCTCCAGTTCCACGACCCTCAAAACTACATAGCAGCACCGGCTCCTCCCCAGGTCTACAGCTCCACCATCCTCACACTAGACACCGAGACTACCTCCTCCCTGCTCTCCAGCTACACGACCCTCAGACTTGAACAGCAGCAGCAGCTCCTCCCTGTACCTCAAGCCCCGTGACCCTCAGACCTGAACAACAGCAATAACAGCTCCCTCCGGTGTCTCCAGCTCCACAACCCTCAGCCTTAAACACCAGCACCAGCTCCTCTCTGGTTCTCCACCTCCACAAGCCTCAGGCATGAACAACAGCATCCGCTCCTCCCTGGGTCTCCATATTCACTGCCCTGACTAGAACAGCAACACCGGTTCCTCCCTGGATCTCCAGCTCAATGACTCTCAGACTTGAAAGGAAGCACCAGCTCCTCCGTGGGTCTCCGGAACCACGACACTCAAAACAACACGGATCCTCCCTGGGTCTGCAGCTCCACCACCTTCAAACTAGAACAAGACCATTCCTCCCGAGGTCGCCACCTTCCAGACCCTCTTACTACAACAACATTGCTCCTCCCTGGGTCTGCAGCTCCACGACCCTGAAACTGGAACAAGATCTCTCCTCCCTGGGTAGCCAGCTTCCAGACCCTCAAACTATAACATTGCTCCTCCCTGGGTCTGCAGGTCCATGACACTCAAACGAGAAAAAGATCTCTCCTCCCCGGGTCGACACCTTCCAGACCCTTTTACTACAACAACATTGCTCCTTCCTCGGTCTGCAGCTCCACGACCCTGACACTAGAACAAGACCTCTCCTCCCTCAGTCTCCAGCTTCCCAACCCTTGAACTTCAACAATATTGCTTCTCCCTGGGTCTGCAACTCCACGACCCTCAAACCAGAACAAAACCTCTCCGCCCTGGATCACCAGCTTCCAGACCCTCGACCTTCAACAACATTGCTCCTCCCTGGGTCTGCAGCTCCACGACCCTCAAACCAGAACAAGACCTCCCCTCCCTGGGTCGCCAGGTTCCAGACCCTCCTACTACAACAACATTGCCCCTGCCTGGGTCTGCAGTTCCACGACCTTCAAACTAGAACATGACCTCTCCTCCCTGGGTCGCCAGGTTCCAGACCCTCAAACTTCAACATTGCTCCTGCCTGGGTCTGCAGTTCCACAACCCTGAAACTAGAACAAGACTTCTCCTCCCTGGGTGGCCAGCTTCCCAACCCTGGAACTTCAACAATATTGCTTCTCCCTGGGTCTGCAACTCCACGACCCTCAAACGAGAACAAGACCTCTCCACCCTATGTCACCAGGTTCCAGACCCTCGACCTTCAACAACATTGCTTTTGCCTGGGTCTGCGGCTCCACGACCCTCAAACTAGAACAAGACTTCTCCCTGGGTCGACAGCTTCCAGACCCTCAAATTGCAACATTGCTCCTCCCTGGGTCTGCAGCTCCATGACCCTCAAATGAGAACAAGACCTCTCCTCCCTGGGTCGACAGCTTCCAGACTCTCTTACTACAACATTGCTTCTGCCTGGGTCTTCATCTAGACGACCCTCAAACTACAACATGACCTCTCCTCCCTGGGTCGACAGCTTCCAGACACTTGAACTACAACATTGCTTCTCCCTGGGTCTGTAGCTCCACGACCCTCAAACTAGAACATGACCTCTCCTCCCTGGGTCACCAGGTTCCCAACCCTTGAACTTCAACAACATTGTTCCTCCCTGGGTCTGCAGGTCCGTGACCCTCAAATGAGAACAAGACCTCTCCTCCCTGGGTCGACAGCCTCCAGACCCTTGAGCTGCAACAACATCGCTGCTGCCTGGGTCTGTAGCTCCACGACCCTCAAGCTAGAACATGACCTCTCCTCCCTGGGTCGCCAGGTTCCAGGCCCTCAAACTTCAACAACATTGCTCTTGCCTGGGTCTGGAGCTCCACGACCCTCAAACTACAACATGACCTCTCCTCCCTGGGTCGCCAGCTCCCAGACCCTCTTACTACAACAACATTGCTCCTCCCTGGGTCTGTAGCTCCACGACCCTCAAACTAGAACATGACCTCTCCTCCCTGGGTCACCGTGTTCCCAACCCTTGAACTTCAACAACATTGCTCCTCCCTGGGTCTGCAGCTCCACGACCCTCAAACTACAACATGACCTCTCCTCCCTGGGTCGCCAGCTCCCAGACCCTCGAGCTTCAACAACATTGCTCCTGCCTGGGTCTGTAGCTCCACGAACCTCAAGCTAGAACATGACCTCTCCTCCCTGGGTTGCCAGGTTCCAGACCCTCCTACTACAACAACATTGCTCCTGCCTGGGTCTGCAGCTCCACGACCCTCAAACTAGAAGAAGACCTCTCCTCCCTGGGTCGACAGCTTCCAGACTCTCTTACTACAACAACGTTGCTCCTCCCTGGTTCTGCAGCTCCATGACCCTCAAACCAGAACGATTTCTCCTCCCTCGGTCATCAGCTTCCAGAACCTCGAACTTCAACAACATTGCTCCTCCCTGGGTCTGCAGTTCCACGACCCTCAGATTCGAACAAGACCTCTCTGCCCTGAGTCACCAGCTTCCAGACCCTCGAACTTCAACATTGCTCCTCCCTGGGTCTGCAGCTCCATGACCCTCAAATGAGAACAAGACCTCTCCTCCCTGGGTCGACAGCTTCCAGACTCCCTTACTACAACAACATTGCTCCTGCCTGGGTCTGCAGCTCCACGACCCTGAAACTAGAACAAGACTTCTCCTCCCTGGGTCTCCAGCTTCCCAACCCTAGAACTTCAACAACATTGCTTCTCCCTGGGTCTGCAACTCCACGACCCTCAAACTAGAACATGAACTCTCCTCCCTGGGTCACCAGGTTCCAGACCCTCGAACTTCAACAACATTGCTCCTCCCTGGGTCTGCAGCTCCATGACCCTCGAAATACAACATGACCTCTCCTCCCTGGGTCGCCAGCCTCCAGACCCTCGAACTTCAACAACATTGCTCCTGCCTGGGTCTGCAGCTCCACGACCCTCAAACTAGAACATGATCTCTCCTCCCTGGGTCGCCAGGTTCCAGACCCTTGAACTACAACATTGCTCCTCCCTGGGTCTGCAGCTCCACGACCCTCAAACTAGAACATGACCTCTCCTCCCTGGGTCGCCAGGTTCCAGACCCTCAAACTTCAACAACATTGCTCCTGCCTGGGTCTGGAGCTCCACGACCCTGAAACTAGAAGACTTCTCCTCCCTGGGTCTCCAGCTTCCCAACCCTCAAACTTCAACAACATTGTTCCTCCCTGGGTCTGCAACTCCACAACCCTCAAACAAGAACAAGATCTCTCCTCCCTGGGTCGACAGCTTCCAGACTCTCTTACTACAACAACATTGCTCCTCCCTGGGTCCGCAGCTCCACGACTCTCAAACTAGAACAAGACCTCTCCTCCCTGGGTCGCCAACTTCCAGACCCTCGAACTACAACATTGCTCCTGCCTGGGTCTGCAGCTCCACGACCCTCGAAATACAACATGACCTCTCCTCCCTGGGTCGCCAGCCTCCGGACCCTTGAACTTCAACAACATTGCTCCTCCCTGGGTCCGCAGCTCCACGACCCTCAAACTAAAACAAGACCTCTCCTCCCTGGGTTGCCAGGTTCCAGACCCTCGAACTTCAACATCATTGCTCCTGCCTGGGTCTGCAGCTCCATGACCCTCAGACTAGAACAAGACTTCTCCTCCCTGGATCGACAGCTTCCAGACCCTTGAACTACAACATTGCTCCTGCCTGGCGCTGAAGCTCCATGACCCTCAACTAGAACTGAACTCTCCTCCCTGGGTCGACAGCCTCTAGACCTCGAGCTTCAACAACATTGCTCCTGCCTGGTCTGTACCTCCACGACCCTCAAGCTGAACAAGATCTCTCCTCCTGGGTCGCCAGGTTCCAGACCCTCCTACTACAACAACATTGCTCCTCCCTGGATCTGCAGTTCCCCTACCTCAAACTAGAACAAGACCTCTCCTCCTGGGTCGCCAGGTTCCAGACCCTCGAACTACAACATTGCTCCTCCCTGGGTCTGCAGCTCCATGACCCTCAAACTAGAAGAAGACTCTCCTCCTGGATGGACATCTTCCAGACTCTCTTACTACAGCAACATTGCTCCTGCCTGGGTCTGCAGCTCCACGACCCTCAAACTAGAACAAGACCTCTCCTCCCTGGGTTGCCAGGTTCCAGATCCTCGAACTTCAACAACATTGCTCCTGCTTGGGTCTACAGCTCCCCTACCCTCAAACTAGAACAAGACCTCTCTGCCCTGAGTCGCCAGCTTCCAGACCCTCAAACTACAACATTGCTCCTCCCTGGGTCTGCAGCTCCATGACCCTCGAAATACAACATGACCTCTCCTCCCTGGGTCGCCAGCCTCCAGACCCTCGAACTTCAACAACATTGCTCCTGCCTGGGTCTGCAGCTCCACGACCCTCAAACTAGAACATGATCTCTCCTCCCTGGGTCGCCAGGTTCCAGACCCTTGAACTACAACATTGCTCCTCCCTGGGTCTGCAGCTCCACGACCCTCAAACTAGAACATGACCTCTCCTCCCTGGGTTGCCAGGTTCCAGATCCTCGAACTTCAACAACATTGCTCCTGCTTGGGTCTACAGCTCCCCTACCCTCAAACTAGAACAAGACCTCTCTGCCCTGAGTCGCCAGCTTCCAGACCCTCAAACTACAACATTGCTCCTCCCTGGGTCTGCAGCTCCATGACCCTCGAAATACAACATGACCTCTCCTCCCTGGGTCGCCAGCCTCCAGACCCTCGAACTTCAACAACATTGCTCCTGCCTGGGTCTGTACCTCCACGACCCTCAAGCTAGAACAAGACCTCTCCTCCCTGGGTCGCCAGGTTCCAGACCCTCCTACTACAACAACATTGCTCCTCCCTGGGTCTGCAGTTCCCCTACCCTCAAACTAGAACAAGACCTCTCCTCCCTGGGTCGCCAGGTTCCAGATCCTCGAACTTCAACAACATTGCTCCTGCCTGGGTCTGCAGCTCCACGACCCTCAAACTACAACATGACCTCTCCTCCCTGGGTCACCAGGTTCCAGACCCTCGAACTTCAACAACATTGCTCCTCCCTGGGTCTGCAGCTCCACGACCCTCAAACTACAACATGACCCCTTCTCCCTGGGTCGACAGCCTCCAGACCCTCGAACTTCAACAACATTGCTCCTGCCAGGCTCTGTAGCTCCACGACCCTCAAGCTAGAACATGACCTCTCCTCCCTGAGTCGCCAGGTTCCAGACCCTCGAACTACAACATTGCTCCTCCCTGGGTCTGCAGATCCATGACCCTCAAACTAGAAGACCTCTCCTCCCTGGGTGGACATCTTCCAGACTCTCTTACTACAACAACATTGCTCCTGCCTGGGTCTGCAGCTCCACGACCCTCAAACTAGAACAAGACCTCTCCTCCCTGGGTTGCCAGGTTCCAGATCCTCGAACTTCAACAACATTGCTCCTGCTTGGGTCTACAGCTCCCCTACCCTCAAACTAGAACAAGACCTCTCTGCCCTGAGTCGCCAGCTTCCAGACCCTCAAACTACAACATTGCTCCTCCCTGGGTCTGCAGCTCCATGACCCTCGAAATACAACATGACCTCTCCTCCCTGGGTCGCCAGCCTCCAGACCCTCGAACTTCAACAACATTGCTCCTGCCTGGGTCTGCAGCTCCACGACCCTCAAACTAGAACATGATCTCTCCTCCCTGGGTCGCCAGGTTCCAGACCCTTGAACTACAACATTGCTCCTCCCTGGGTCTGCAGCTCCACGACCTCAACTAGAACATGACCTCTCCTCCCTGGGTCGCCAGGTTCCAGACCCTCAAACTTCAACAACATTGCTCCTGCCTGGGTCTGACTCCACGACCTGAAACTAAAGACTTCTCCTCCCTGGGTCTCCAGCTTCCCAACCCTCAACTTCAACAACATTGTCCTCCCTGGGTCTGCAACTCCACAACCCTCAAACAAGAACAAGATCTCTCCTCCCTGGGTCGACAGCTTCCAGACTCTCTACTACAACAACATTGCTCCTCCCTGGGTCCGCAGCTCCACGACTCTCAAACTAGAACAAGACCTCTCCTCCTGGGTCGCCAACTTCCAGACCCTCACTACAACATTGCTCCTGCCTGGGTCTGCAGCTCCACGACCCTCGAATACAACATGACCTCTCCTCCCTGGGTCGCCAGCCTCCGGACCCTCGAACTTCAACAACATTGCTCCTCCATGGGTCCGCAGCTCCACGACCCTCAAACTAAAACAAGACCTCTCCTCCCTGGGTTGCCAGGTTCCAGACCCTCGAACTTCAACATCATTGCTCCTGCCTGGGTCTGCAGCTCCATGACCCTCAGACTAGAACAAGACTTCTCCTCCCTGGATCGACAGCTTCCAGACCCTTGAACTACAACATTGCTCCTGCCTGGCGCTGAAGCTCCACGACCCTCAAACTAGAACATGAACTCTCCTCCCTGGGTCGACAGCCTCTAGACCCTCGAGCTTCAACAACATTGCTCCTGCCTGGGTCTGTACCTCCACGACCCTCAAGCTAGAACAAGATCTCTCCTCCCTGGGTCGCCAGGTTCCAGACCCTCCTACTACAACAACATTGCTCCTCCCTGGATCTGCAGTTCCCCTACCCTCAAACTAGAACAAGACCTCTCCTCCCTGGGTCGCCAGGTTCCAGACCCTCGAACTACAACATTGCTCCTCCCTGGGTCTGCAGCTCCATGACCCTCAAACTAGAAGAAGACCTCTCCTCCCTGGATGGACATCTTCCAGACTCTCTTACTACAGCAACATTGCTCCTGCCTGGGTCTGCAGCTCCACGACCCTCAAACTAGAACAAGACCTCTCCTCCCTGGGTTGCCAGGTTCCAGATCCTCGAACTTCAACAACATTGCTCCTGCTTGGGTCTACAGCTCCCCTACCCTCAAACTAGAACAAGACCTCTCTGCCCTGAGTCGCCAGCTTCCAGACCCTCAAACTACAACATTGCTCCTCCCTGGGTCTGCAGCTCCATGACCCTCGAAATACAACATGACCTCTCCTCCCTGGGTCGCCAGCCTCCAGACCCTCGAACTTCAACAACATTGCTCCTGCCTGGGTCTGCAGCTCCACGACCCTCAAACTAGAACATGACCTCTCCTCCCTGGGTCGCCAGGTTCCAGACCCTTGAACTACAACATTGCTCCTCCCTGGGTCTGCAGCTCCACGACTCTCAAACTAGAACATGACCTCTCCTCCCTGGGTCGCCAGGTTCCAGACCCACAAACTTCAACAACATTGCTCCTGCCTGGGTCTGGAGCTCCACGACCCTCAAACTAGAAGACTTCTCCTCCCTGGGTCTCCAGCTTCCCAACCCTCAAACTTCAACAACATTGTTCCTCCCTGGGTCTGCAACTCCACGACCCTCAAACAAGAACAAGATCTCTCCTCCCTGGGTCGCCAGCTCCCAGACCCTCTTACTACAACAACATTGCTCCTCCCTGGGTCTGTAGCTCCACGACCCTCAAGCTAGAACATGACCTCTCTGCCCTGAGTCGCCAGCTTCTAGACCCTCAAACTTCAACAACATTGCTCCTACCTGAGTCTGCAGCTCCACGACCCTCAAACTAGAACATGACCTCTCCTCCCTGGGTCGTCAGCTTCCAGAACCTCGACCTTCAACAACATTGCTCCTCCCTGGGTCTGCAGGTCCATGACCCTCGAAATACAACATGACCTCTCCTCCCTGGGTCGCCAGCCTCCAGACCCTCGAACTTCAACAACATTGCTCCTGCCTGGGTCTGGAGCTCCACGACCCTGAAACTAGAAGAAGACTTCTCCTCCCTGGGTCTCCAGCTTCCCAACCCTCAAACTTCAACAACATTGTTCCTCCCTGGGTCTGCAACTCCACGACCCTCAAACAAGAACAAGATCTCTCCTCCCTGGGTCGACAGCTTCCAGACTCTCTTACTACAACAACATTGCTCCTCCCTGGGTCCGCAGCTCCACGACCCTCAAACTAGAACAAGACCTCTCCTCCCTGGGTCGCCAGCTTCCAGACCCTCGAACTACAACATTGCTCCTGCCTGGGTCTGCAGCTCCACGACCCTCGAAATACAACATGACCTCTCCTCCCTGGGTCGCCAGCCTCCGGACCCTTGAACTTCAACAACATTGCTCCTCCCTGGGTCCGCAGCTCCACGACCCTCAAACTAAAACAAGACCTCTCCTCCCTGGGTTGCCAGGTTCCAGACCCTCGAACTTCAACATCATTGCTCCTGCCTGGGTCTGCAGCTCCACGACCCTCAGACTAGAACAAGACTTCTCCTCCCTAGATCGACAGCTTCCAGACCCTTGAACTACAACATTGCTCCTGCCTGGCGCTGAAGCTCCACGACCCTCAAACTAGAACATGAACTCTCCTCCCTGGGTCGACAGCCTCTAGACCCTGAGCTCAACAACATTGCTCCTGCCTGGTCTGTACCTCCACGACCCTCAACTAGAACAAGATCTCTCCTCCTGGGTCGCCAGGTTCCAGACCTCCTACTACAACAACATTGCTCCTCCTGGATCTGCAGTTCCCCTACCCTCAAACTGAACAAGACCTCTCCTCCCTGGGTCGCCAGTTCCAGACCCTCGAACTACACATTGCTCCTCCCTGGGTCTGCAGCTCCATGACCCTCAAACTAGAAGAAGACCTCTCCTCCCTGGATGACATCTTCCAGACCTCTACTACAGCAACATTGCTCCTGCCTGGGTCTGCAGCTCCACGACCCCACTAGACAACCTCCCCTCGACAGC